GGGGCAGAAGAGGAAGAAACTTGGGAGGGGACAGGGGAAGAAGGTACTGTACGGGGAAGAGGATGACCCTCCACATTCGTATCAGAGCCAGTTAGAGGTGAAGAACCGGGCACAGAGACTGGGAAGGAAAAATGAGCAGGTTGCAGAAGGGAAGGAGGGGTGAAAGGAGATTTTAACAATGGAGATGTTTTGGATTTCAGAAGAGAGGGGCAGTGGGGAGTAGGTGTTGTACGAGGTCTCGTAGACATAGAAACTTGTGAGTGAGAAGAGGAAGAGGTGAGAACAGAATGAGTTGCCGAGGTAGGGACCTCTGAGTCCAGGACAGCAAAAGAATTAGAGACAGGGGTGACTGTGGAAGGAGTGACCACAGAGGAGGCTGCAGAAGTTGGGTCCCCAAAGGAGGGGGGACGTTTAGTAACTTGAGAATAAGAAATATGGGGAAGTTTCCCTTGGAGGCATAGATGAGAGACTGCCATAGCATATGGGCGGCCTTCTGCCTCTTTGAAACAACGGATTTCACGCTCATTTAAGTAAACTTGGCAACGGCAAGAGTAAGATGGGTGAGCCTCATTACAATTAAGGCAAGAGGGAGGTAGACTACAAGACGTATTGGTATGATCGTCGGCACCACAGACTGGGCATTCGGCAATGGACTTACAATATTTTGCTGGATGACCAAAATGCCAGCAATTTCTACACTGTTGCAGCGTAGGGATCACCTTTCGAACTTGTAAATGGTGTCCCACTATATATGCAGAGGACAGAAGTTCAGAAGTTAAGTGAGTTACATTGCCTGTGGGCAGGGAGGACATAAGTGTCTACTTTGAGGATTGGGAGGTCTTGGAGTTCTAGCTGTTCCAGAATGTCATCACCACATGTCTGGAAATTCTGTTGGACAATGGTATGGGGCAGAATGAATTGAGGGAATGAAATTTTTCAATAGTTACAGGAATAGTGTCGATAGTTGTGAGGAGAGTAAGATTGTGAGCTTGATCAGCATTCTGGACAGTGATGATGCATGTACTGCTCTTGAGTGCATGAGAGGATATATCTCTACCAACATGGCATAGGAGCACCTTGCCAATACTATGGCTGGAAAGATAGAAAGTAGAGGAAGTCGGTTGTAGAGTAAAAAACTTAGTTCATTGTGTATTTTGAAACATAGCATGTAAAGGGAGTTCGTGACGTGCTCATCTTTTCTGAGTAGAATGAGGAAGCGAAGAAGTATCAGGTAATGGTCTGGGGCGTTTAAGTGTGGGACAGGAGTTGGTCCGACGTGGGATGGGTGGGCGATCCGAAAATTGCTGCACCATAGAGGGAGAAGCTGGAAGCATAGTCAAAGAAGAACAGAGGTCAGACGTTTTGAAGGAGTCAGTCAAAAATTCAGTACCTGGAGGTGTTGAAACGGCACCAGCAGGAGGTACAGGGGCATTAGAAGTGTCCAAAGAGTGGTTAAATAATGAGGCAGGGTGAGAACAGGGTGCAGTATCAGGAAGGGGCCCAGGTTCATGGATTAGGAACTCCATGGTTAGGTCACTCCTTTCACTGGTTTTTAGGAAAAAAAGAAAGGAAACTAAAAAAAAAAAAAAAGAAAAAAAGGGGGGAACATGGAGGAATAGCTCCTAGGAGGAATGAAAGGGCTGTAAATCTCCCTCGCATCCAAGAAAACGTCAGCACTGCAGTTAGTGCAGATGCGGCATGGAACCCGTGCCATACTCTACCCTTCATGACAGTAAACCAGCAATCCAGGATAGCAGCCTCACATCCACCGAGCCACCTCGGTGGAGGGAAGGGAGGGCGGCCAGTCACCCTCCACAAAGCATACCTCCTTTGGCCACCACCCCCTGGATTCCGAAAGGTAGCCTCCAGAGATACACCTGTCACCCAAAAGACACCCAAAGCCACCCCCAGGGAGACTGAAGAGGGATCGGGACATCCCCAGGTGACCCAGATTCCATGGCAAACTACACCACTGCCAAGGACCTCAACAGAATGGGATGGACTCCAGTACCCTTCCCCTACCTAGGAACTAGAGTGCCTGTGGGAAGAATCCCAAAGGCTGGAAATAGGAAGGGATGGGGAGGAGGAGGAGGAGGAGGAAACAGAGAAAGGGGGGATGGGGAGGATGGGATAGGGAAAGGGGGCAGTGGAGGGTAATTAGGTTCAGTCTGAGGAAGGAGACCAAAAGGTCTAATTCCTCAGACCAAGAGCCTCTTCACCACGCTAAGGAGCCCCCCCTTGAAGAGGTCTGGAAAATAAAATTCAGTAGTTTCCTACACAACAATAAATGCAAATATTAATTACCACTTTCAGAACCTAGGTCATTAAGCATTTTTTCTTATTCTGAACCCTTTTAAAAGTAATTGAAGACAAGTCACAGAAAAAACTTTTATTGGGACAACATTTTGCTCTGTGCAGGGATTTAGCATGCTCTGTTAGGGATTGCACAAACAAGCCCACCTGACCTAAGTGGGAACTTTTAGTTACAGAACTTCTTCCCTGAAATTTGGGAAGCAGGTCTTGAGAAGGCAAATGCTGTCAGTGGCCCTTGAAACCCCCCAACAATACGAAGAAAAAGTAGAGTTCTACAAAAATGTAAAAAAAATTTTTTAACAAGTAGGCCATCTCCCACCGAGGCAGGGTGATCCAAAAAAGAAAGAAAATCCCCAAAAAGAAAATACTTTCATCATCATTCAACACTGTCACCTCACTCACACATAATCACTGTTTTTGCAGAGGTGCTCAGAATACAACAGTTTAGAAGCATATACGTATAAAGATACACAACATATCCTTCCAAACTGCCAATATCCCTCACCCCTCCTTTAGAGTGCAGGCATTGTACTTCCCATTTCCAGGACTCAAGTCCGGCTATATAAAAATAACCGGTTTCCCTGAATCCCTTCACTAAATATTACCCTGCTCACACTCCAACAGCTCATCATGCCCCAAATACCATTCGTCTCCATTCACTCCTATCTAACATGCTCACGCACGCTTGCTGGAAGTCCAAGCCCTTCGCCGACAAAACCTCCTTTACCCTCTCCCTCCAACCTTTTTGAGGACGACACCTACCCCGCCTTCCTTCCCCTACAGAATTATATGCTCTCCATGTCATTCTGCTTTGATCCATTCTCTCTAAATGACCAAACCACCTCAACAACCCCTTTTCAGCCTTCTGACTAATACTTTTATTAACTCCACACCTTCTCCTAATTTCCACACTCCGAATTTTCTGCATAATATTCACACCACACATTGCCCTTAGACAGGACATCTCCACTGCCTCCAACCGCCTCCTCGCTGCAACATTTACAACCCAAGCTTCACACCCATATAAGAGTGTTTGTACTCCTATACTTTCATACATTCCCTTCTTTGCCTCCATAGATAACATTTTTTGTCTCCACATATACCTCAATGCACCACTCACCTTTTTTCCTTCATCAATTCTATGATTAACCTCATCCTTCATAAATCCATCCGCTGACACGTCAACTCCCAAATATCTGAAAACATTCACTTCTTCCATACTCCTCCTCCCCAATTTGATATCCAATTTTTCTTTTTTTAAATCATCTGATACCCTCATCACCTTACTTTTTTCTATGTTCACTTTCAACTTTCTACCTTTACACACACTCCCAAACTCGTCTACTAACCTTTGCCATTTTTCTTTAGAATCTCCCATTAGCACAGTATCATCAGCAAAAAGTAACTGTGTCAATTCCCATTTTATATTTGATTCCACATAATTTAATCCCACCCCTCTCCCAAACAACCTATCATTTACTTCTTTTACAACCCCATCTATAAATGTATTAAACAACCACTCTCTTCACCTCTCTTTTACTCTCCATATACATACTCTACTCTTCGTATAACACTTCTGCTTTGTAAAAACCTCTCATAAGCTACCTTTTTCTCTTTTATCACACCCTTTACTTCATCATTCCACCAATCACTCCTCTTTCCTCCTGCACCCACCCTCCTATAACCACAAACTTCTGCCCCACATTCTAATACTGCATTTTTAAAACTATTCCAACCCTCTTCAACCCCCCCCCCCCACTACTCATACCTGCACTAGCCCACCTTTCTGCCAGTAGTTGCTTATATCTCACCCGAACTTCCTCCTCCCTTAGTTTATACACTTTCACCTCCCTCTTACTTGTTGTTGTCATTTTCCTCTTGTCCCATCTACCTCTTACTCTAACTGTAGCTACAACTAAATAATGATGCAATATATCAGTTGCCCCTCTATAAACGTGTACATCCTGGAGCCTATCCATCAACCTTTTGTCCACCAATACATAATCTAATAAACTACTTTCATTATGTGTTATATCATACCTTGTATATTTATTTATCCTCTTTTTCATAAAATATGTATTACTTATTACCAAACCTCTTTCTACACATAGCTCAATTAAAGGCTCCCCATTTTCATTTACCCCTGGCACCCCAAATTTACCTACTACTCCCTCCACAACATTTTTACCCACTTTAGCATTGAAATCCCCAACCACAAGTACTCTCACACTTGGTTCAAAACTCCCCACGCATTTGCTCAACATTTCCCAAAATCTCTCTCTCTCCTCTACACTTCTGCAATTTGTGCCTTTTATATTTATACTTATTGACATTATACTATTTCATCCTCAAATGTTAATGTTAGGTTATGTCACGCCATATGTGTTCTGTGATTCACCTCATCTCTCATTAAACCATCTGCCAACGATGTCCACTCCCAAATATCTGAACATGTTCATCTCCTTATTCCCTCCCTCAATCTGATATCCAATCTCTCATTGCCTATAATTTTTTATACTTTCATAACCTTCCTTTTAATTTCCTTGTTTTACATACTCTCCCAAATTCAATTATCATCCTTGGCAACTTCTCTACCCCTCAACAACATATACAAATATAATGTTTTCCCATACAGAAAATATAATTGCAAATGATACCTAACACTTTCTAATTCTTATTTTTTTCAGAATCAAGGCCAAATGTGGACTTGACTTCAGTGAGATGCTCTTTTTTGATGATGAATACAGGAACAAGAGAGATCTCGATACCATTGGTGTTTTAATGATATTAGTTGAGAATGGTGTTACTCAAGAAGTGATTAGAAAAGGATTGGAGGAATTTTCAGCAAGGAATGAAAGAAAACAACTCCAAAAATAAGATTATATGTTGTATAAATTATTGTCCAATATTTATTTACATTATTTATATTTTTATTACACATGCATTTTAGCAATAGATGTTAAATTTATATGGATGGCAAGAAACTGGTTTGATTCTTTGAAAACTTTTATTAAGGAAATGTTTATTTTTTAACAGTTACTGCAAATGGCAAGTTTTTAAGTCTTACCTTATGTTGACTGTGCTTAAACATGTTCAAAAATGTTTATAAAGTTCTCAGTATTAATGAGAGATATGAAATGTTACAATTGTACAGTACTAGTTTTGGAGGCTTTCTCAGCTAGCCTATAGCATATAAAATGTTAGCACCACCATACAGAAGAAGCATCAGCCTTTTTGTGTGTTTGTTTCTGTAGCTCTTAAAAGGCAATACTACATCAATGCAGGTAGAAAGCATCATTAATAATTCTTAGTGTTTAATGCAACAAAAAAATGTTTTCATGCTAAAATTGGTTAAAATAACGATTTATGTATCTATCTTAGGGTTATTCTATTCTCAGTGTCAGTGTAAGATATTCTTTAGTTCCTTTTAGTTTAATTATGGAGTATTCATTTTACCTCGATTTTATTTACTCCATACTGTATTATAATTTATAAGGTGCTTGACAACAAAGAACTTTGAACAGCATGGGTGAACTTGATAAATTAGACACATGTACAACTCTTGAGTATCTTTATTGAGGAAACGTTTTGCCACACAGTGGCTTCATCAGTCCATACAAAGGAGAATCATGAAGAACAGGAGAAGAATGAGGTAATCAGTCCCTCAAACTTGAGTCGATGTTGTCAGTCCATCAATCTTGAATAGAATACATCATATGTGCAGAGAAGTAGCTTATATACTGTAGGCAGGAGAGGTGCAGCAGATGTAGGTGGTGTCACATTTGTTCAATGTGGAAGTAGGTCATGCCCAAGAGCTAGGCAAGTGAAGAATTCCCAAGTATTAAGATCCCAAGAAGTTGCAGTGTCTGACAGGATTGTAGATGAATAGTTCAGAGAACGTTTCCTCAATAAAGATACCCAAGAGTTGCACATATGTCTAATTTATCAACGTATCGGTTCTCTGAACTATTCATCTACAATGGGTGAACTTGTTATAAGAAGAGAACCTGAGGCAACTTTGTGTTAGATCCACTCACTTTATTCTTATAATAATGGTACAAATACTGAGAGAATGGATAGTTTCATGCTTCTATTTTCAATGCAGTTGAAATCATGAATTTCTGTCATGTGAAAGGCATTCTTATTCTGCACTGCCACATGATACTTCAACATTCTCCACTTTATACTGTACTCCTTTTAACTTTTCTGATGTATTAAAATATAATCCATCAATATATTCACAATTTCATGGCCAAAATGCATGTAGTGTTTGCCTGTGCAAATACTGTTTGTTGCCTCAACAATTTATGGATTGACATATTGGCTGTATCCCACCAAGGCAGTGACCAAATGAAGAAAAATCATTCACATCACTGATTTCTTGGCTCTCTTTCATGAAAGACACAGACATCATTACCTAGAGATTACCCATTGAACCACAACATTTTACATCATTTTTGAAAGTACAATCACTGCACTTTCTCCTGGAAAAATTCAAGTCTCACTAATTAGTTTCCCTGAACCTTTACATAAATGCTACCCTGTTCACACTCCAAGAGCACATCACATCCACTTGCCTCTACTCAGTCTGATGTAGCATTCTTATACATGCATGTGAAATTCTCTCAAAGCCATGATATAACCCCTTTAAACCCTTTCTTGAACATTCCCTACACCAATTTCTATCTACCCCAGTATTATACATCTTAAACTACCCTTTTTGTTACATCATCTGCTCTTTGAATTATTCATACTGCCTCACCATCATCTAATTTCTTGGGTCCTTTCCAATATATTCACACTACACATTGCTCCTAGACAGGACTTTTCCACTGCTCCAACCTCTTTTTATTTGCTACAACAATTAAAGGCATGTTTCATACCCATGAAAAGACATAACCACCACTATACTCAAATGCATTTTTTCATCTGTTGGCAAACTTTCTACCCACATATTCCTTAACATTCTTGCTACTTTCTTTTTTTCATATGTACGGTAATTTCCTATATCCTTTATAGACCCCATCAACTGATACATTCACTGAGAAGAATCGTATCTGTGCTTCTAATCTGACCTCTAGTCTTTTATTCCTATCCTATATTTTTTTTTTTCCATTCTTTTTAAACTTCCTTCATTTATGCACCCTTCCAAACCCTTTACTGGTCTTTGCATTATATGTGAGGCATATCTTATCTGGTAGACTGTTGACTGTGTTTTCCCCTTGTCTTACCTATACTGAAGTATGGTTAAGGAAAGCATTACATGAAATACATTCCTCACACCTGAATCCTAGTACTACTGTTAGTGATGTAAACTATTCAAGGTGTTAAAGAAAAAAGAAAAAGGTGTTACTGCAACATATTCCTCATGATGATAAAAATAGCAAGAGAAATAATGCTTCCTGTATGCTAGGAATATAGATGTGTGTTGCAGATCTAATATGCCAAGGTGCGATGGTAGCAATGGCAATCTCTCCAGTAACATAGTATCTCACATGTTGTTAAATCTTTATTTCTTATTTTATTATAAGTATTTATATTATTTTTTATTCATTTCCTTATTTTTGTAATTTATGATTTAATAATATGAAATAGACACAAAACTGTAAAAGAACAAGCAATTACAGTATATTTAGATAAATAAATAGCTCTGAAAACTGCAGTGTTGTTATTGTATCCCAGGATTATTATTATAATAAAAAAGAAGCGCTAAACCACAAGGGCTATACAGCGCTGCAGGGCAGGAAGGAAGCGAGGGTATCCAGTGGCAAAAGGGAGAGGGATGATTAGTAGGTTACGGAGAACAGCGAGGCAGTGGATAGTGCAGGGGTAGAGGGTAGCAAGAGATTGAGGTAGAAAGGGATGAGGGGAGCGCGAAAGGTATCGTCAGAGTTTGTGGAATAAATCAACTGTTAAGAAGTCAATGAGAGAGTCAGGATTAAAGGAGTGTCCATCAGCAAGAAGGGAAGGTAAAGAGAGTAGTAGAGTGGAGACGACGACGGAGGTAAATTCTGCATGCTTGTTGATAGAAAGGGCAGTCTAACAGAAGGTGGCTAACTGATACTGTAACCTGACACTTCTCACAGAGAGGAGCAGGGTGCCTCTCCATGAGATACCCGTGAGTAAGACGAGTGTGGCCAATGCGAAGACGGGAGAGAGTAGTCTCCCAACCTCGACACTGATGACAAGAAGACAGCCAGAAACCTATACTCGGTTTAATAGTATGTAGTTTGTTAACGAGTAGATTAGACCAACATTGCCAAAGGGTGTGAAGGTGGGTAGCTATTACAGCAAAATAGTCCGTAAATGGAACACCTCTATATGAAACTGGTAGGTCATGTACCGCTGACCGTGCAGCAGTGTCTGCCTGTTCATTGCCCTGTACGTCAACATGACCAGGGACCCAACAAAAAACAATATCTTAATGCTTGGTAGAGATACGGCATAGCCAAAGTTTGATATGGAGAACTAGGGGGTGAGGTGTATCAAATTTTCGTATAGCCTGTAAAGCACTAAGGGAGTCTGAGACAACCACAAATGATGACACAGGCATAGATGCAATACGGATAATTGCTGCAAGAATGGCATACAATTCAGCTGTAAAAATGCTAGCCGAGGATAGTAAATGTCCTCACATGATGCTGTCCGGAAACACCGCCGCAAATCCAATGCCATCAGAAGACTTCCAGCCATCTGTATCCTCCATTGATGAGCTTTTACACCTCTTCTCAACGTCAGTTTTAACCGCAGCTTCTCATTCTATACCCCAAACCTCAGGCAGGCATTCTCAGAAGTGTGTGCCATGGTGGTCTCTTGCTTGTGCTCGGGCAGTACGTTTGAAACGCGCTGCATGGGGCAGGTACCAGTACAATAGAACCACAGAGAGACTTCTTGATTTTAAGCAGAAGCGAGCGGTTGCTCGCCATGTCATCCGTGATGCAAGATTGTTTCCACCATCACCTTGGCTTCCTCTATGAGTGCAGTCTGGAAAAAAGTACGGAAACTGAGTGGTAAATATTCTCCTGATCTGGCTCCTGTTCTGCAGCTTGCCGGTGTTGATATAGCAAACCCTCTTGACGTTGCCATTGAAATTGGCAATCATTTGGTCTGTATTTCTCAGGGGCTCCATCTATGCCCCTCGTTTCTTTCCTCAAAGTCCCTAGACTTTTCTTCTTTCAAAGAAGAATCTTATAATGTGCCTTTTACACTTCAGGAACTGGAGGCAACACTCTCGGCAGCTGGGCCAGACAGCATTCATATCTGGATGTTACATTTACATCAGTCAGCCCTTACAGTCCTCTTACAACTCTTCAATCTTATTTGGTCACAAGGAGTTCTTCCCAAGCTGTGGAAATCTGCCATTGTTCTCCCTTTCCGCAAACCGGGTACTACGGGACATGATGCCTCCCACTGTTGTCCCATTGCTCTTACTAGTGCAGTTTGCAAAGTGATGGAACGTCTGGTAAACCGATGTTTAATGTGGTATCTAGAGACACAAGTCTCTCCACTAGTCAATATGACTTTCGTAAGGGCCGTTTTACCACAGACCCCTTACTATGCTTGGATACGTATGTTCGTAATGCCTTTTCAAATAACCACTCAGTTATTGCCATATTTTTTTATCTTGAGAAGACATATGACACAACTTGGAGGTATAATATTTTGGCTCAAGCCCACTCCTTAGGCCTCCGAGGCAATCTACCATCCTTCCTTAAGAATTTCTTAACTGAGAGACATTTTCGTGTTTGGGTTAATAATATGCTCTCCCAGGACTTTGTCCAAGCTAAAGGTGGCCCCCAGGGATGTGCTCTGAGCACAACACTTTCTCCTTGCTATAAATGATTTGGCCTCTTCTTCCATCCAATATTTGATCATCACTCTATGTTAATGACTTCGCTATTGCTTGTGCAGGCGCTGACTGTCACCTCATTACAGCTTCTCTCCAGCATGCGGTCGACCGTGTTTCCAATTGGGCCACCATACATATATCCCAGGAAAGACTTCATTTTATACAGCAGAAAAGGGTAGATTATTATTATTACAATCAAGGGGGAAGCGCTAAACCCGGAGGATTATACAGCGCCTGGGGGGGGGGATGTGGAAGGCATTCAGGCTTAATTTGGGGAACTGGAGCACAGATCCAATTCCCTAAATCAAGAGCCCCTCACCAACATCAAGGAACCTTCCTTGAGGGGAGAAAAGGGTAGAGAAGAAAGTTCGATATCCTGCGATATTATCTACTGATCTGAGAGGCTATAAATTCCACATTTCTCGACTAATGTTTACCCCAAAAAAAATATAAGCTTATCACGCATGCACCAAATAGTCATATACTAAAATTAAAATGATTTGGTTAAAAATTTAGAAATAAAACAAAATTCAAATTTCAATTGTAATCCTATGATACAAAATTAGAAAAAATTCTACATTTTTTTATTTGTTTTTGCCCCCCCTAAAAAAATCCTCATACCTAATACAGTATCTACCAAATGACCAAATACAAAAAATGTAACTGATTAAAAAACAAATGAAAAAAAAAATTCAAAATTGAATCTCCACTAACTTGTATCCTCCCTCTTCCCTTCACCACCAAAAATCCAGCTTATCTTTGTTTCTTTCTTTCCTCCCTCTACCTCTAATATGATCGTGTTGGTGCAACCAAGCTTTGGTTTGGTACCTATGTTCTTTTGGCTTGGCACAAGATACTCAAACTGAAAACCAACTATAGGATTTCATTCAGAATAGGCTCATTGGATTTACTATGCCCAATCTAGTTTCTTTTAAGTCTTCCTTATTAATGCAGCACTGTATGACCCTTGTGGGTTTAGCGCTTAGTTTTGTTTTTTGGCTGATTCTTATTAATGCCAATATTAACCACTTTAGAGGGATACTTAAAGACACTGAAAAGCGCACAGTGGCCACCCGCTCTGGTCACACGAGAGCAAATTTTTACATGTTTACCTGGAAAGGGTTTTGGGAGTCAATGCCCCCGCAGCTCGGTCTGAAACCAGGCCTCGTGGCGGATCAGGGTCTGACCAACCAGGCTGTTACTGCTGGCCACACGCAAACTGACATACGAATCACAGCCCGGTTGGTCAGGTACTGACTTTAGGTTTAGGTGCCTGTCCAGTGCCTTCTTGAAGACAGTCAGGGGTCTATCAGTAATCTCCCTTATGTTTGTAGTAAATTCCTGGTAGAAAGAGGGTTGCTGCATGTTAGCCAATGCCCATCAAGCTAATTCACATAAAGCAAAGGGAAACCAAAGTAAACTAATAGACAAGGATGACCAAAGGAGTTTCTATTTGGATCATAATGGTAGAATGAAATGCAGGGTGGACATCGGGTATTGTCTTAGGGCATTTAAGATTTGTAGCCCAAAATACGTTCCAAGAGAATATAATTTTGTCCGTTTTTTTCTTAGGGCATTTAAGACTTGTAGCCCAAAATATCTTCCAAGATAATATAATTTTGTCTAACTAGATTTCACCAAATTGCATTTTCACCAAATTCCATTTAAGGTTGTAAATACAACAAACTTGTCATACTATCTGTTTACAATAATGTTTTATCACTGATTACATCATTGCCATCTTAAGTTAATTTTAAGCCTGCCCGTAATGCTATGCATACAAATGGCTTTGGCATGCTGCTCTTACCTGTATTTTTTTGTACCTCTGTATGTTCAAATTATTAAATAAATAAATAAATAAATAAATAAATAAATACTCCTAAAAGTCCAATATATATCCAACAGTCTCAAGATCTTCCCAGGAGATTTCAAGAAGTGTCACTACCTCCAGTAAAAGGAGAAATAAATAAGTTACCAGATTATTATGTATTGAAACAATAGCTAAAGCCTTTAAGGAAAGAAAAATGCTGACACAAATTATATGTCATTATTACTGGTAACCAAAAATACATATCAGCAAAATTACAATGCTATAAAAACGTTGCCCAAATAGAAGATCAACAATTGGGTGGCACCAGAATTTCTGTGCTGGGAAACTGAGAGAGGTTAACTGGTTGGAAGGGGAAACTATAAGATCTATTTTGAAAAACCTTACGCCTTTCTACTTTGTATTCCCCTCAAGGAAGGTTCCTTGATGTTGGTGAGGGGCTCTTGATTTAGGGAATTGGATCTGTGCTCCAGTTCCCCAAATTAAGCCTGAATGCCTTCCACATCCCCCCCCCAGGCGCTGTATAATCCTCCGGGTTTAGCGCTTCCCCCTTGATTATAATAATAATAATAATCTACTTTGTATTGGACTGATGAAGCCACTGTGTGGCGAAACGTTTCCTGAATAAAGATTCCCATATGTTGCATAAGTGTCTCAATCTTCAACTTGTCGGTTTTTCAAACCATTCATCACAAAAAGCATTATTACTATTTTTATTAGGGGGCTAAAGCCCCTAAAGACCCCCACTTCATTGGCACCACCCCTGTCTACAAAAGAACGTGGGGGCAGTCCGTTTATCTTCTGCTCCCTCTCCATTCCACCAATCATTAAAGATCTTTCCTCTATCTTCCACCTATTAAAGATATTCCCCCGCTTTGTACCACGTATTTACATGTAAGTCGCCACTTACCACCTATCTAAGATGCTTTTTCCACCTACTACCGATTTAAAATGCCGTCTATCTACCACCAAAAATGGTTCCC